TCTGTTTCCCAGACTCTCTGGCCATAGGATTGTAGGCTGGCACTCCCCAGATCTATGTCTAAAATCCATATATGAGAGAGTACATGCCATGTTTCTCTTTTTGTGACTGGGTTACCTCACTCAGGATGGTTTCTTCTAGTGTCATCCATTTGCCTGCGAATCTCATGATTCCATTTTTTTTTCTGCTGAATAGTACTCCATTGTGTAGATGTACCACATTTTCTCTATCCACTCTTCGCTTGAGGGACATCTAGGTTGCTTCCAGGTTCTGGCTATTACAAATAAAGCTGCTATGAACATAGTGGAACAGACATCTTTGTTGTATGAATGGGCATCTTTTGGATATATGCCTAAGAGTGGAGTTGCTGGGCCTTGTGGTAGGTTTATTCCCATTTTTCTGAGGAATCTCCATGTGTATTTGAGCCCTTTCAGATTCATAGCTATAGAAACAGTTATAGAAACAGATGTCAGGAAAGTGGAGCCAGAGAACCAAGAAGAAGACTGGAGAGGAGTACATGGCCACTTGATTCAGCCTGGGATTTAGGGGGTTGAATTTTTCCCTCAATATATGTTTTTATTTAAATTAGAAACATGAATGCTTAACATGTCAATCCCAGCTCCCTCTCCTACCCTTCCTCCCTTGTCCCTCCATCAGCCTCACCAGCTCCCCACCCAATCCCCACATCATTCCCCAGGGAGGGTGAGGCTCTCCTTGGGGGGATGTCCAGAGTCTGTCATTTCATCCAGGGCAGGACCTAGGCCCTTCCCCATGTGTCCAGGCTGAGAGAGTCTCCCTCTATTTGGAATGGGCTCCCAAAGATCATTCATACACCATGGTAAATACTGATCTACTACCCAAGGCCCCAGTGATTTCTGTGACCTCCTCACTGGTACTACATTCATGGAGTCTGTATCAGTGGGGGTTGAATTATAAATATCTCTCTTGGTAAAGTACTGTGAAAGCCCAGATTGAGGCCACTGCTAAACAGTGACAACCTTAGACAAGAAGGTGTTTGTCTTTCTGTCTCTATTTCTGCCTGTCTCTTTGTCTTTCTCAGTCTCTGTGTCTCCGTCTCTCTCTGTCTTCAATTTGTCTCTGTGTTTGCATCTCTGTCTCTTTCCCTTTCTCTGTCTGTCTGTCTGTCTGTCTGTCTGTCTGTCTGTCTGTTTTCTATTCTCCTCAGCATGATTGAATTGAAAAGTTCCTAGCAGATTACCCAAGAGCAATTCTGGGTGTACCTGTGAGGGTATTTCCAGAGAGAATTAAGTGAAGAGATAAGACTTAACCTAATGTGGTGGTGGGAAGGGGCTGGAGGTGGGGCCCAAATGGAGTAATAAGAGAGAAAAGTGAAAACCAGTGAGTGCAGGCATTCTCTCTGTTATTAGCCACCATGATGTGGCAATATCTGTCCTGACATACTCCCCCTACCACAATGGACCAAAGCTTGTAAAAGTGAGTCAAAACAAAACCATGCTTCTTTTCATTTCTTTTGTAGGTATCAAGCAATGAAAACCTAACACAAAGTTCCAGTGGTTGCTAACTGACAGTTTCATTCAGTTATTGTAGGATTTGAGGGTGTTGAAAAATATTTTTTTACTTTAGAAATGATCAATATAGCCAATCCATACAGCAGCTAATATCTAGAACTCTCCACTACTCTGCCTAGTTAAAGTATTCTGTGTTATGCTAACAAACAACCACAAAACAAGAATGTGGTTGCAGACCATATTAAAACCTAAGTGCTAAGATCAGTGTTGAGAGCGAAAGTGAATGACACTTAGAAAGTATCAAAAAAAGGAGATGCTTGTGACTGCTAGCAGAGGTAGGCATGCTATAGTTTTGTGAAATCAATTGCATCTAAAACAATTCAGTTGAATCAGTATAATCTTGTGAAATCAATTAAGTTTTAACCAGATTGTATAGCTCATCCTTTGACTTGTGCCTATCAGGATGAAAGGAAGACAGAATAGAAGCAAACCATTAAAAGAAACACTTCAGGATATCTTAGCTTTCCTATATTGTTAAAGGTCCACACCCATTGAACTATACTAAATAGTTGTTTTGTAGAGACAAATCATCATCAACCTAGTGGCAGTATTATAATTTACATGCTCCAGATATGAGTAGTGTTGAATACAATTGTTTGTGACATATGCCACGTGTATTGAATAATGCTCCACTCACCTATTCCCATAGTTTTCTTTTTTTTTTGTTTTTTGTTTTGAGATGGGTGTTACTTTTATCTTCCATTCATAAACAAGGTTATTAGACTTATAAAAGTTAGGTGCTTGCTAAAATAGTTCTCAAATGCATGTTTTCAGTTTAAAATATGAAAAACTTAGAAATAATATGAGAGTGTGAATAATGTTTTATGGTGCAGATGAACATTGCTTAACAGCTGACAGGGAATGAAAGGTGAGTTGAAAGATACTGTTGGACTAGTTAGAATTGTTTCTTCTTTGGTCACTGGTTATTGGTCCACTTGTGTTTTCTTTAAGGTAGGATAGTGCTTTTAGAACCAAGAAAGCTAGACTCTGTTGTTTGTGCTGTCTGTTGATTGTGTACCTGGGTAATTAGGCTGTGTACTGTGGCTCAGTGTTCTTACCTAGCATGTGTACGTAATACCTTCCTATTTCATGTGTCTGTTTTAAATATGGTCGATACTCATGAGTTAAGGGTTCTATATTTGCCTAATTTATTCATAATCCTCAAATCCATACACTTAGTGCATTCACAATAATCGACAGCTTGGAGGAAGCTAGGGTCATCCAGGAAGAGGAAACCTCAACTGAGGAATTGTTTCCATCAGATTGGACTGTAGGCATACCTCTGGGCCCTTTTCTTAATTACTGACAAGTGTGAAAGAACTCATCCCACTATGAGTGGTGCCATTCTTGGGCTGGCGACTCTGGGTTCTACAAGGAAGCAAACAGCAAACCGTGGAGAGCAAGCCAGTAGGCAGTACTCTTCAATGCTCTCTGCTGCAGTTCTGTCCTCCATCTTCCTGTCTTGGGTTCCTTCCCTAGACTTCCCTTTATGACGGGTTATATACTGTAAGGTGAAATAAAACATCTTTATTCATTGTTAATCCATTTAAAGCATCAGTATTTGATTTCAGATTAAACTGTCATCCAAGATAATTTGCAGCGTTGTTTTGTTGTTGATGACATTAGTTATTGTATTAGGGGACTGTTGTTAGATTCTGATTAACTAGGCCCTCTGAATGTGGGTAACAGTCATTTGGCTTGATTTGTTGGGGGAGTCCTGGCAGTGATACTATCCCAGGTACATGAACTGGCCTTTTGGAACCCATTCCCTGTGGTGGAATACCTTGCTCAGACTTGATACAGTGGGGAGGGCCTTGGTCCTGCTTCAACTTGGTATGCCAGACTTTGTTGATTTCCCAAGGGAGGTCTCACCCACTGTTAGGAATGGGTGAGGGGTAGGGAGGGGAAAGATGAGGGGACAGGAGAAGGGGAGGGAGGGGAAGCTGGGGTTGGTAGGTAAAATAAAAATTTCTTAAATAAAAAAGAAAAGGAGAAAAAGAAAACTTTAACTCATTGAAACTAAAAGAAATAATTTTCCTTAACTGTTTCTTTGCAGCCCCTGGTGAGCATGTGCTGTGTGACAGGGTAGTTATGCTCACTATTGTGCTGTATTCCATTTTCTTAACATAAGCTGCAAGGCAGCTACTGGTGGCTGCCTCAGAAACAAAAGCCCAGAGAGACGATTAATGTGTTCAGTGCCACAAAATTAAGAGGCGGTGTAACAGCCTTGTTCCGAGATGATCTTCCTTCCCTGTCTCCAGGTTAATTTTGATCTTGTAGTTGATGTGCAATATTCTCCACTCGCCCTTTGCTGATACCCTGTTGCTTTCCTGATTTCAGGACATGGATTTGAACGTTGCAGGCTCACTGAAGGACATTATTAAGCTTTTCTAAAGAGATTCATTCCATTAGTTTAGTGGATGAGTAGGTGGATGAGTGGGTTTGAGCTCTAATTCTTTAATTAGTTTTTTTTAAAGATAGCTTGTTTTTATTTCTGTTTAAGTCTTCCACTGTATTAAAAGAGGCGTGTGCCTGCCTGTGAGGCTTTGCTGCCTCACTGGGCTGGGAGATTTCTTTTCATCGGTTAATTTGGACATTTTATTTTGTTCTTATTTCTTTAATATCCTGATTAAGGGATTAGATAGCCCCTCTCCAGGCTTCAGCTCTAATTCCACCCCACACAGGGCCGTGTACTTTGGAAACATTGATTTGCATTTGTTGAATGAATAATGACTTAGCAGAACTGCTGACTTGATCTAGCTCTTAACAAGGCAGCGGACTTGGTATTATACATGAATGAGGTTGAAGTAAATGGCCGGGTTGCCCTTGTGAATATGAAAAAGTGGAAGATATTGAAAAGACTTCAGAGTGGGAATAACTTGCTCAGCTATTACACTATTTTCCTAGTTCCCCTTCCTGTTTTGTTCTTCAATGGATCAACATTTCATTTGGACTTAGCATCTACTTGGTACAAATAGGGATCCCAAAATAATGACTCCTGTTTCTGTGGAGAAAAAGTAGCACTTCCCTCCAGTAGTTTCTATGTATCTTACTGGAGGAGCTGTGGAAAGTGGACAGCTCATCGTGACATGGAGTGGGCACGATGACAGTTTGGGATGAATGGAGGGCTGATTTGTCATGAAAATGGTCATTTTAAAATAAGAACTGAAGTTATTGAGACAGAGAAGGTCAATTTCCAACATCTGGAAAGAAAAGCCACAGTAGCAGAAGAGAGGATTAATATGCATTTTGTTTTGATCAAAAGGGTGTGGAGCAAAAGGGGAGTAGTTTGAAATAGGTTGAGGCAGATTGTGGCATGGAAACTGCATCAGTGAGGACATTGGAGGGCTTCCTTAGAGTTTTATAAAAGTAACTCTGGTGGCAATATGAAGGAGAGACGGTTAATAGAAGAGGCCAATGACTAATGGGCTTTCCCTTCTTCTGCCTTCCAGCTTTCTCCTGCGCCTCTGGAGAGTACCTAGAAATGAAGAACCAGGTATGCAGTAAGTGTGTCGAAGGCACCTACTCCTTGGGCAGTGGCATCAAATTTGATGAATGGGATGAGTTGCCGGCAGGATTTTCCAACGTTGCCACATTCATGGACACTGTGGTGGGCCCTTCTGACAGCAGGCCAGGTGGCTGTAACAAGTAAGACCCCAAGCAAACTTTTGCGCTTTGAAGACTTGACAAAGGTGTAGTCATGCTTTTCTGGGAAGAGTTGAGGATAGTTTTAATACTGATGAGGATTATAGATGATCTTAAGGCAAAGTGTTGTATTTTTGGATGATTTAACCAATGAGTGTTTTAGCCAGGTGGTGGCGGTGCATGCCATTAATTCCAGCACACAGGAGGCAGAGGCTGGTGGGTCTCTATGACTTTGAGGTCAGTCTGGTCTGCAAAGTGAGTTCCAGGACAGATTCTAAAGAAACACAGAAAAACCCTGTCTGGAAAAACCACCCCCCCGAGAAAATTCCCCCAAAACAAATGAGTTTTTATTTACATAATTTATTTACATAAATCTCTTCTCTTTCCTTCAATTCCTCCTGTCTCCCTAACCTCTCTCAAATTCATGACCTCTTCTTCTTTTTATTATTACAGACTTATATATCTATGTATATATGCACAGACATGCACATATATGCCACTGAGTCCTTTTAGTGTATTTTCAAATGTGCATGCTTATGACTCACCGTTTGGGATTGGATAATCTAATAGGGGCTCATCCCTCAGAATGACTGACTCTCCCTTTTTGAGAGCTATTAATTACCTATAGTTATTCGTCTATGAATGGGGCCATGTGAGAGTTCTCTCACCCACATTGTCATGTCAACTGGTGTTGTCATGGTATCGATATTGTTTAGGTGAACATATTGCTGAAATTTCATAGCTATAGCTTCCTTTTTCATATATTGAAGATGGTATTGTATAACATATGTTCTGGTCCTCTGGCTCTTACAATGAATGTTTACTTAAAACACACAGTCACACACACACACACACACACACACACACACAAAGGCACACACATGCACAGATGCATATTTAATGAAGTTACATCACTTGGAGGATAATGTCCCCTCTCTCTGAGAGCCATAGATTAGCAAACACCCAGACATGGGAAATTGCCCTTTGAGTTTTTTTGTCAAGGGGGTCCAAGAGACCCCCATTGCCATCTAATATAGGCAATTACTATATCCCTCGGTTGCCTCCCATTCCTCAAAGGTAAGATCTTATTGCTGAAGACACTACACACTTCAGATTTGGAGGGATTGAGCTGGAACTGACTGAAAACTTCACCCCAAAGACAAGCTTTTATAGTATCTGAAGGTGATGTGAAAGCTGCCAGCACAGGAAAGCAGTCAATAGTCCTCCCCAGCTGTAAAACCTACTAACCACAACAACGATGGACATGGAAAGATAGTCCAAGAATCCAATAGTGGTACTTACACCTTACTACACTGTCTAAAAGGACTCTAGCTCTACTCAACAGAAGGGAACCATGCTTCATAGTGCAAACGGTCAACTATTCATGTCTGATGAGGTTATGGTCCCTAGAGGAGAACCTATTACTGCACCTTCCCTAAATTCCAATTGCTAAGTATATTCTAAAAGTTATGCTTATATCTACAGGTAAATTTGACTCTTACTCCTCATACAAGAGTTTCTTTTTGAATCATTTATGGGACCATTACAGAAATGCACAACTTATCAAAATTCAGAGAACAACTGTTGGTGGGATGCCCAAGCTTGGTTGGTACAATTCTAACACAAGCCCTGTACCAAAGGCTCAGGGAACATCTCAGAAGAGGAGCATTTTTTTACTTTTATTACGAAGAATGAAGCTAAATTTTTAATGAGAAAATAATTGGCCTCACAATATAATAGATATCGTATGTAGAATGCAATAGAGCCATTAGAAAAAGGAGTTCATTCCCTTACATTTATAACCAAACTTAGGGCAGTGGTGTTTCTACTAACCTTTCTTTAATTTTTAAAGAGAATTTTCATGGTTTTTCCCTTTGAGTGCTTGACCTTCATTTAGACCTTGATTATTTTCTGGGAGAGTGGGTTAAAGATCTAAGGTTGAAAGATCCTTTGCTTAATTGGTAGGTGGTCACTAGCTTCACATATGACAGCATTGTAGAAATGCTAAATTGTCGTGGAGGAAAAAAAGGAAATTGTTTGCCTTTGAGAGGCACCCATTCTGTTCTCTACATTGACTGTGCAACATTTCCTGCAATGTGACTGTGTTTAGGAAAATTAAACTAGAGGTTGTAAAATAGGTAGCTTCTGGCTACCTTCTAAGAAGACTGCTTCACCAGGAATCCAACATATTCATCATTGTTGAATGGCACCAAGGAATTACCTGAGCTGATAGGTATATGTCTTGGCTTCTCCCCTCCCTCTTCCTTTTTTCTTTCACTTTCTTTCCTTCGATTTTCTCCTACTCTTTCTCAGCCCAGGAGCAATGATTTATTTTCCTCTTTGGAGAATGAGATTGTTATAAGTCTCCCCCCTCTGTATGTCTGTCTTAGTCTATGCATTTATGTTTTTAGAGCACCTTATACTGAGGAATTTTCAATGAGATTTATTTAGTTTAGTTCTTCAGGCCCAAGAGCATAGTGTTGACATGTGGTAAGGGATTCATACAGCTTCAAATCATAATTGAAAAGGAAGGTGTTGACTGGCATGTGCGAGGAGATAAATGTTGAGTGAGAAAAGTATGAAAGGTTCCATTCCCCTGACTGAACAGTGTATCAAGGCTGTATTAATTACTTTCTTGAAAAGATCCTTAGAAACAACCAAAGGAGGAGAGAGATGTTTTTCTCATGGTTTTAGTCCACCACGGGGGTTGGGATGGGAGAGCACAGCTGTTCAACTCACAGCAAACAGCAAGCAGAGCAGAACAGCTCAGCAACAAACAGGAGCCAGGACAAGATACAGCCCCCAAGAACATGCCCCAAGTGACCACGCACTACCATGGTCTACCTTCCAACCATGCACCGCCTTCCCTGCCTTTGTCACCTCTCAAGAGGCTATTTGGAATTTGAATCAGTTCATAAATTTATAAGGTCAAAACTTTAATGATTGAATTGCTTCTGATAAACTTTGCACAGGCACACCCAAAAGAGGTGGTTTAGGCTTTTCTCAGTCCAATCAAGCTGACAACCAAAATTAACCATGATAGAGCCACCACCAGTGTTCACTCCTCTTAAACTGGTAATCCATTTCAAGGTGGATTTGGCAAAACACAGCACTATGTACTCATAGAAGTACCTTACAATGAGGCACTAGCAGCATGTGATGGGACACCAGCTATTTATTTTGGTGAACTTGAATATTGACTTTTTTTTCTAGATGGACTAACTTATTCATCAAGAAAAATCGAAGATAATCAGATTCTTTCAATATATTTTCCCTAATATAATTTTCCAAACATGAATTTCAGTTGGAAATTGTTTTCTTCTTCTTCCCAGCCATATGGTGTTATATTTGCTTTATTTCTTTTTAATCAGTTGGGTCATATTGATGACTTAATTATTGAGCCCAGGAAGGCCTTTATACATTAAGGATATGAGACTTATATGTACCTATCTATGAAATATTGGTTATGTATTATATACACGTATTTGTGATATCTCCTTCAGGCCTGTGACTTTTGACTTTTTATTGTCTTAATGATGTTGGATAACTAGAGATTTAAAATTTGAAGAAGTATCATTCATCATGTTTTTTTTCCCTTCTTGCTCCGCTTGGTGATTTTTGTGTTAGGATATCTTGGGTAACCCTAAATTTTGAAGGCTGAAGATTACAGTATGGATACTTATTGTAGTGTGGACAGGGTTTCATCTTCTTATGGATTGTTACACTTAGAACAGTAATGAATGTTTGCATCCTTTTCTTGTCAGATATCGTGAAGCATGCTATAAACCCTGACAACACACCAATGTTCTATTTGAAAGAGCTATTGCTTGCAGGACATTCTTAGGATGCTTTAGGGTATCTAGCATTGATTCAGGGGTAAAAAAGGTGTGGCTTCTATCTCATGACTTCTTCAACAATTTAAAAGGTCAAAAATAATACAACTTAATACACTAATATAAATATTTAGCATTTAATAGCATACACCTGTTCTCTCTCTCTCTCTCTCTCTCTGTGTGTGTGTGTGTGTGTGTGTATGCCTACAAGTCAAACTCAGATGTTATTTGAAAAAGTAATTCTACTTGACACTATGAATATTAATATTAGTGAATTTGTTTTTGGTAAACAAAAGACATTTTATAGCAAATTGATCATATAGCCTTACAAAGATTTAAGATGTCATATTCTATAATAATAAACCTTTTTCTATGGTTATCATCATATGTATATATATATATTATATATATACAACTATATAAATTCAATCTGCTGAGTCCATTTACTGTTGCTTATATGTGTATGATTACAGGGCTGATTGCTCAGTATTGGATAGCCAATTAGGAGGTTCATCCCTGGAGAAGACTATGTCTCCCTCTCTTAGCAGTAATTAGTTGACTGTAGTTTTTGTATATGAGCACCTTCCATGGCTATTGGTGTTACTATTATTCTGAGGGCAATTTGAGAAAGATTAAAGAGGTATATATGGGAGGGTCTGGGATGGGAGGACACAGGAAAGGTTAGAGGGAGGAAAGGGAAGGGAAAAATGATGTAATTATTTTAAGTGACATTTAAAAATGTAAGTTAAGTAAAAAAAAAAGTAAACTTCTCAATAGTGGAGTTCAACTTTTGAGTTTCAGCTGATGTTATCTGCTTTGTTTAGTCCATGGAATCCATTTCTGATTCTCAGTCAAAGGACTGGGGCTGGAAGAGATTTCCGAGCTCTTACATAGAACTTTTGGTTCTGTTTTCACAGCTCCGCTTGGCTGCCTCGTGGAAACTATATAGAGTCTAACCGTGATGACTGCACTGTCTCTCTGATCTATGCCGTGCACCTTAAGAAGTCAGGCTATATCTCATTTGAATACCAGTATGTGGACAACAACATCTTCTTTGAGTTCTTTGTAAGGCTTTTCACATTATAAACCTCCCATTCCATTTCACTTTATGCCTCCTAATTTTTTGGAAGGTGTTAACTGGATCTTTCAGTGTTAAAAGAAAAATTTTCCCTACTATGGTACTTTGTGTTCAAATTAATATTGTTTCTTTACTTTTCAGATCTTTCTTGTGGAATAATGTTGACTTGTTTCACCTCTGGTTATGTTCATCAGGTAGCCATTTGGCTTAGACTGTATGTCACAAATCATTTTTCCAAGATTTAGCTTTTTAGCTACCAAGCTCTTATTTTCTATGCATTGTGTGTGTAGAGAGGTATCAATGTTTACATGTTTATAGCATGTGTGTGCATGTGGAGGAGCATGTGTGTACATGTGTGGAAGACAGAGTAGTGTTGGATGTTTTCCTCTCTCACTATCCACTTTCATTTTTTGAAAGAGTGAACTTCACAGATTCAGCAACAACAGCTAGTCAGCCAGCTCTGGGGGGGGGTGTCTGCCTTTGTATACACTACTAGTTAGAGATGTGTGCCACCACAGCCATCTTTTACATGAGCTGAGGATCTGAACTCAGGTCCTCGCGCTGATTGTGTAGCAAGTACATTACACACTGAGTAATCATAACTGTTTCTATTATGTTAAAATTATGCTATTTTTGTTTTTAACTTAAAACATTTCCTTGAAAGTCAGTAAATACTTCCTTGATGACTAATTATTTGCTCAATCACAGTTATTTAAAAAGTAAAAATGGCTGTATTTTTATTTCTGTGAATTTTGTGCTGTTGATAGGGAGTCACTGGGTGAAATAGTTGATGTGTCTGTCATGATCTTAAGTAGAACGACAGAATTAAAACATAATCATATACCAACAGAATACCTACTGAGGCTATTTAACTAATGTAAGTTGTAGCCGATCAAGTAATATGTATTATGACAGTGACTTGAATTCTTGACAAAATATTTTCAGATGGACTTATACTGAGCATAATGTTTGTTTTGCTAGCAATAGGAAAAACACTCCTGTGATCTAGGTGTTAAGAAAACACTATATTAACAATTCTAAAACAAATTTATAATGATCTTGGTGATGCGTGTTTCTATACCAGTAATTGCAGTTTCTGTATCAAAAAGTTGATGGCAAGAACTATTTCCCATGAAGGCATAAGTCTTGCCTTTGAAGTGAAGAGGTTCTGACTCTGGGCTTCCCTCTGTAGTTATTAGCTGGGTGTTCCTGGGCAGACAGTCTGATTTTGTGGCTATCACTGCTCCCTCTGTGAAGTGGATTCTTTGATGAGGTGTTTTGAGGAGCTTCTAGTATGGGTGTACTTTGATGTTTTAGGATGCTAAGCAACATTTAGACAGATTTACTTTTTTAAAGTATGTCTTGTTTGCAAAATGGCTTGTGAGAATCTTGGGACATTTCAATCGTATTGCAGAAAATAAAATAAGGAGGAAAGACAAGGGTCTAATTGTTATGAATAGGCAGCTTCTCCATATTTTCCAGCAAGTCCTTTGAAGGCCATCAATAAAGGTGCTTTTAAGGAGTAACAGTTTGTTACTTCCCCACAGAGATGCCTGTGTTGGTCTGTTTTAGAGTCTAAAGGGATGGCAAGCTCATGCTGATCCCCTTATTGGTGTTTCATGCTTACAGAGTGAGATTTATTGACTTAGCAGGTCAACACTCCTCAGTTATTATTAGTTGGTGATCAAAAGGAAATGCTTGAAGATAATTATGTAGTTGGTTGCAGAGAAAAATACATATAAACAGTGCTTAATTTGAAGTATTAAAGCATTGAGTTTGAGCACAGAGTGAGACTTTCATTAAGCATTTCTTTTAAAAATGATGAAGTTGAAACCTAAAGAAGTTATTAGTCCATGATTACACCCTAACTAGTTTCAAAATCAGTAATGGAATTCACTTCTTCAGAGTTTCGGGGAATGTTACAATCATGTGATGTCTGCTTTAATGTGTAAAAAAGCTGTTGGCTTGCCTATTAGTTGTTCATTAAAGGCATATTCAGATCCTGTAGTGTCTATGAAATGGCTTAACACTGGTGTCACGGTGATCATGATGGTCAGAGGAGAAATAAGACTCAATTTTAATTAAAGGAAATATTAATTGGATATCTCTAGATATTTAGAAGATTGCAAATGTTATTATTTTCTAGTGAAGTCTTTAGAAAGTTCTCTTAGTGAAAACACTTTCAGCTTTGTGATAGATAGGAAAATAAGTAAGGCAGCAAGAATTGTTTAAAGAAGAGAGACAGTTTTTGATGAGTGATGAGTACATGTGATGAGATCTGCTTCTACTCTGCTGTCGGCTATACTGCTGTACTAAAATGATGGCCTAGCTTTTAGGTGTCTCTGTACTTTTTGTAGACCTGAAAAAGTAATATCCTAATCTCTGTTCACTTTTGAAGGATTGACCATAGAGTTCAAGATGTTTAATGTGAAAAATATTATCACTAACCATCTTAATTGTAATGGTAAATGATTAATATTTGCTTCATTACAAAGGTTAGGGATTAGAGTTTGTCCATAACCACTTAACTGCACATTTAGATTACATCCTAGGAAATTGACAACCAAGGCACACTATTTGCTAATTTAAATTTTTACTGCTATCAATGAGATTTGCAGATAAATGTAGGTCGCGTCAGAAGACCTTATCAGAGATCCACAACTGGTTGAAAATGCAGAGAATAAGTGACTGTGGGATGCCTATCCCCATTTGATACATCTGTAATGCAACTCCCATTCTTAAGGCTCAGGGAACATTCCAGAACAGGGGACAGAAAGATTTTAAGAGCCCAAATTTCAGGACACCTGTTGTGAGATAGTGACGTCTAGATGTAACAGAGAAGCTGCACCAATAAAACCCTAGCAGTATGGTTGCCTAAATAAGATCTGAATAATGACCATACTAGTCAACATGCAGAGAGGAAAGGTGCAAGTCCACAAGCTCCCACCCCTAGATGGAAATCTTCATGTGATCAATGGCTACCGAGTGAGAATCAGTTTTCAGTATAGCCCCCTAATAGATCGACCAATTCCAAGTATTCATCCTTAATTGTGTTCGTATAACTAGAATTATTGACTCCATAAGTGTTTATATAAGTATGATAAATACAAAAGAAGTGTGTGGGATGTGTGGGAGAGGCCTTAAGGGGAAGAAAGAACGCTAGAAATGATTTAAATGCAGTATACTCATATATGAAATTTTCAACAAGAAAAAAATTAAATTTAATAAAATTGATGTTGGTTTTAAACTTGAACTTGCATGGTGAATATGAATTGTTAAGACATTTGGGTAAACTGGCTAGAAAAATGACTTTCCAATGATAGTTATTCTCACCCTCTTTAATGGCCTGGCATTTCGGTTACAACAATGAGATGGTTTAGTCAGAATCATTCCCTCACCTGCAGTTGTACAAAAGCCTCCAATGGTCTTGGTGTGTTTGCTTGCTGGAGATTACTTCATTTGTAGTTTGAATGGGTTGAAGGATGTTCTTGCAACGTGTTCGGTGAGCAGAAATGAATGAAAGTTATTCTTCCCAGAGCATCACCGAGGCCCTGTGTTTAACTCACAGATTCAGAATGATCAATGCCAGGACATGGATGCCAGCACAGACAAGTGGGTGAGGCTCACAGACAGTGGAGAATGGGGCTCCCATTCTGTAAGTCGCTTTTTGTGTGTTTGTTGACACCAAATCCATTATTTCCTTCCATTTGCCAACTATTTCAAAGTATTCATTCTAAGAAAATAAAAAAGATAGCATGGTCTACTACTTTGCATAAGTTCAGTTTAGCAAAGAAATTGGCTTTGTTTCCTACACTCACATTTAAGATTTTAGATTATTTTTGTTTCCTTTTTCCTTAGGATGCTTTGTCATTCCTTTTTCATTTCAGCTTTCTCCCTCTTTAAAGTGGGACTCAACAACTTAGAATGTTATAAGATGTTACTAAATTGAGCAAAAATTTTGAGAGTACCTTGACATTACTGTCAAAGAACATGCTTTGGCCCAGATTCATTTACCCTATATAATAGAACCCACAAATGTGAAGTTTAAAAACAACTTTATATTTTATTTAGCCTTAAGTTTCTTCCTTAGTATATTTGTGAATTGTCAGACTGTTCTATTTTAATTTTTAATCAACTTCATTATAGTTTAGGCTGGAATTAAGTGGATTTAAGTTTGTTCATTCTATTTTAATAGTGATTGTATAAAGAATTGAAAGAGGGTACAAGAGAGTAGGTTTTGGTTGTGGTTAGAAATAGCTGGTCTGACCCAAGTGTCTTGTGCTTCTCTCTGTAGGTCATGCTGAAGTCAGGTACAAATATTCTGTACTGGAGGACAACAGGCATCCTTTTGGGTTCTAAGGCAGTCAAGCCCGTGCTAGTAAAAAATATCACCATTGAAGGTATTTCATAGCTATGAGCCTTAATAGTCATTAGTTCAATTTTCTCGTTAAAATATTTATTAGTGTGTTGGTTTAACTGACTCAAGGGTTTATAATAAAGACACAAATTAATGTTAGACCTCAGGCATATCCAAAAACCTTAGTTCTACATCCAGCAAATTGATTAATAGTTTTTTTTCTTTTTCCTTCCATCCTCAAACCGGATTATTTAATCGGCATAAAGCAGTAAACACAATGACAATCTTCACTGCTTTTTTAAAAAATAAAATGAAAGTGCATTTGTTTACAAGAGCACATTACTCATTAGAGATATGTAAATTGTGCCAGATAATCTGATCATTGTTATAGCCATAAAAATAGTAAGAGTCTGGCTGTTTCCTCAACCTCTTGTGCTTTTCTGACCCAGTTGGGTCATTTCTAGCCCAGCTGAGCCACCAGTGAACACTGCCATGGCTCATCCTTAAGTAGAGCGAATCTAACTAAAGCAGCACTTCTTTATTAAAGTTTGGGATGTTTCCCTGCATCCTATGCATTAGTCACTGGGACATCTGCTGGACAAAGCTGGAAGTACAGACCAATAGACAACCATTTCTACGGTCTTTCCTGCTTGCTTCTATTCTGTGTCGTTCTTCGTTATAAGTAAATGAAGAATTTAGTCTCATAGCATTCTTAGTGTCTCTCTCTTCTGTGCAGAAGCAGCAAGTAGGTGCTGATGTGTTCCTTGTACTGGGTTCTCTGTCCCAAGCCCTGTTTCTCTTTCCTACACAGGGGTGGCATATACCTCGGAGTGCTTCCCATGCAAGCCAGGCACTTTCAGCAACAAACCAGGCTCATTTAACTGTCAGATGTGCCCCAGAAACACCTACTCTGAGAAGGGTGCTAAAGAATGCATAAGGTGTAAGGAGGACTCCCAGTTTTCAGGTAAGGCTAATTGACAATTTTTATTCTTCTCTTTCCATGTTAATGTTGCTCAAGTGTACTTCACATGGCAGAGGAAGTGTGGACGCATTGGTGGACCACACGCCAATGAGGTGAAATGAATTCATACTGAATGGGGACAATATGACGTCCTTGTGTCCTCTGCATGGCTCTCTCCCTTTGTCTGTGATTTTCCTGTATTCCACACTCCATAGATAACGGGTACAGATGTATTTGCATCAATCTAGCCAACTGTCTACTTTAATGTGGTTTGTTACCAAAGAGATGTACTTAGAAATTTTTAATTTGTTCCAGATTGCCAGTGTTCAGTGATAATATAGGAGAAAACTAATATCTTCTGGAAACAGCTGCCATGATGCATCTGTATCGTAGAAATATTGATCCTCCCTCCAGGAAAAATAAAAATACAAACATTTAACCAGGCGATAGTAGTGGAGGCAGTGGCAGGTGAATCTTTGGGTTTGAAGCCAGCCTGGTCTGCAGAGTGAGTTCCAGGACAGCTAGGGCTACACAGATAAACCATGTCTTGAAAAACCAAACCAACCAACCAAACGATAAAAACACTAAACCTTTATTTATCTACGGCTTGGCTAGTTCTACTTAAGCTACTCTAGTACAGTGATTTCTTTTACATGTTAGCTTGCTTTTGTGTTTTGACGCTCATTTTTTTCTTAAGGTCCCAAAGGAATTGGTTCATTTCTGAAATGCTTTCTCTGTGTGTTGCAGAGGAAGGAGCCAGTGAGTGTGTGGACCGCCCACCCTGCACTACCAAAGACTATTTCCAGATCCACACCCCATGTGATGAAGAAGGAAAGGTATCAGAAGTGTTTAACTCACCCTATGTTTATCAAATACTTTTCCCAGTGTGAGAGCACTCTGGGTTGTTACCTGTGAGTACAGATAGTACAGAAGAAATCCAAGACTTTAGGTGTTGCAACCTGCGTTTTATTTTGTCTCCCAACTAGTTCTGCCTATTTGTTGCTCCGAAGCCTCCATCTTTTCAGTCTTTAAAGGAACATTGATATTGCTACCTACTTCATAAAGCTCCTATGGGAAAATATAAGATACTCAAAGTAAGGTTTCCAGCCAGGGCCTAGCATGTAGTGAGTGCTTCACACATTATTACTATCTTTTATAAAGGACTATATTCTTTCAGAGGTCACAAGATCAAGAAGAGCACAGCTTGAAATATGTGTTACCACTCAGGGGAATAATAAAAATGCTGCATAGCTTCTGTTGCACTGTGAGGAACTCAGAATACTTATCAGAGGAGCTATGCAACCATACAGTAATTAAATTATGCCAGACTACTGTGTAATCAAATTTACAAACCCCAAAGTAATTACCGTACAAACCACATTAGCTGGAGGAAAATGTACAGATGAACTTTGTGGTTGACCCGTCATCCTGTGAATTAAAAAATCAGCCAGGACCATTTGGTTCTTTGAGAAACTGAGAGCAATGTGGCTCCTGTGGAGTGTCCTTCAAATATGTTCACATCCTGAAAGATGGCACCTAGTTTTTAGAGACTATCAGCAAATATTTTCCTTTCCTAATTTTGCCTCTGTGGATGCTGATTGGTACTTTTTGTCTTTATGTGACTATGAAACTTCTCTTTATGCCTTTAAATACTTTAAAGGAATATTGCTTTGAGTGCCATAGAGTAGATACATACTAATTTAAAGTGATTAGTGGAGCTTTTTAATAAGGAATATGATCGTTATTTGTTAATAACAATGCTAATTTAAACTAACAGCATTAACTGAAGAGGGCTTGTAGAGTAAGGCTGACCATGACCCTACAATAATTCCACATGAGGCTGTTTCTATTTAGAAAATACATATAGAGGCCACTAAAATGGAATGAAACGTATTGGGTATAATACCTTTAAAGTAAACTTTCCTTAGCTAAACTTGCCTTACTTACTAGTTAAAGTAAATTTAGTTTATTCTATGTAATGATGGTTAATTCAGCATTAGTGCAGTGTAAACAAATGAGATCTATTAATGATTCATTTTTCTGAACCACATGAAAATATATTAAAATCATATTACATTACTGTGTGCTCTATTATAATCCGTCTCTCTCTCTCTCTCTCTCTCTCTCTCTCTCTCTCTCTCTCTCTCTCTCCCACCACTTGTAAACATGCTGTACATATGCTGAACTGTGTTTTTCATATAAGTCAGGGAATCTCTGAATGTGCTCTTAGTATAGAAAAAATAATGTACCCATGTTTTATGAATTCAGTCCATTTTTAAATTTTTTTCTTTCATTCTTTTTCTGACAAAATCTCACTGTGTGGCTTTGACTGGCCTAGAACTCTGTGTAGACCAGTCTGACCTTGAATTCCCGGAGATCTACTTTTAATGCTTAACATAGATCCATAAGGGCATTGTAACTCTTTCTGATAAACTTCTCTGTAGAGGGCTTTGGTTTTATGATTTCATGTTTGCATCTCACTTTCTGAAGAGTGAGTTGGTTGGTGTCTCACCTGCACTATGAGCCATCTGGTTCTAAGCATCATCAGTATTAATTAGTATCTTCCCCATCAGCTCTACCGGGAAGCATATGTTTCTGTTAGAAAGACAGAGCAACACTTTGTCACGTGTGGCAGGAAGGTCTGTAATGAAAAAGGTGTCATGGAGAGTTTATAACTCGATTTCTCCAAGTTAAAATGTTTAAAGATAAAACTTTTTTTTTAATTTCTAAAAATCTTCTTTTGTTACATTGGAAGCACCTGGTTATTTGGCTTCCAAAATCTATTTGCATGTTTTATAATTTTTATTCTTATCAGACTAACATTTTTTTGATGGTTCTATGTGCATCTCTTGGATAAGTTAATAGTTCTAGGGGCTGAGGAGATAATTTAGTGAAGTGCTTGTCTTGAAAACTACACAACATGAGTTCAATCCCCAAAATCCATGTGAGAATCCATCCTGGCCTAGTGGCCTGTGGTGTTTTTTGTTTGTTTGTTTGTTTACATTCCAATTCCAGTTCCCCCTCCCTCCTGCTCCCCTCACCCCCCACCTCCCATCTGCTCTTCAGAGTGGGTAAGACCTCCCCTAGGAAGTCTACTAAGTCTGTCCTATCATCTCATTGAGGCAGGGCCAAGGTACCTCTCCACCCCACATGCCCCTGTGTCTAGTCTGGGCAAGGTATCTCTCCATATTGAATGGTGGCCTATGTTTATAATGGGGACATAGAGACAGATCCCGAGGACTGGGTGACCAGCTAGCAACCCAGTTTCAATGCCGAGATCCAGGTCAGTGAGAAATCTTGTCTGAAAAAAAAAGTAGATAGAGCCAGAAGAATGATGCCCAAGTTTGTTGTCACACACACACACACACACACACACACACACACACACCTACACAAATTCACATACACCTACCACACATATACACACAAACATGTACACACACATGCCACACAACACACATCACACACCCACACATACAACACACACTTACACATACACCTACACACACATACCACACATAAACACACACAGGCACACACACGCACACACACAGGCCACACAACACACATCACACACCCACACATACAACACACACTTACACATACATCTGCACACACACACACACACACACACACACACAATCGCACACCATACACCTCTAATGTGGAGTATTTCCTCATTCGAAAACTTGGAGATAATAAGTGCTTGTCCTGAAGATGTTGGTGAGATTCTTCAATGCTGCATCGAATCTCTTCCATTCTTATTTAGGAACCAAAATTTCCTCTGAATGTAGCAGTCATGCATTTTTATTAATGAGTCAGGGAATTAATGAATTAACTAGGATTTTAAATTTGCTTTTTATACTTGTTAAACTGGAAACATAAAATCAGTGTCTCTACTATAATGATTCTTTGTTTTACACATGGCAACAGAGGAAGAGAGATAAAGAGGTGCATTAAAGTAGTTCATGACAGGAGCCATAAGATGACTGTGGGGAAAGGAGCCATTAGAAAGAAAACAATACCATTTATCACTCTGTTGAGACATCTATATTTAAAGCATTTTCCTTAGCATCCGCCTTCATACAAGATAAAGCATCTTCCATGAGCACATTCGAGGAGATACCTTGAGTGGCCTTAGGGATCACTGTGCATGGTTCTTACTGAAACAGTCGTGGAGTGCTGCCCGTGGTTTCCATATCCTAGTTCCAACAAATACCACAGAAGTGGTTTTAGAGGATAAACAAAGCAATCAAAAGTTTGTTGGATGGAAGGAACTGTTATTGTCTCTTCTAGAAACTTCTATTCAGTTATGGTATTGATTCACTGTTCTGTTTGTGCTAGAATACCTCCTCCTACCCCTCAGTGTTCACATTCCAATTTTGCTTTAGAACAGCTAACGCATTTGGTATTCAGGTTTCAAAGTGAGGACGACTAAGCACAGGCGTAGCTGTTGCCACTAGTCTTTGTACCATATTGTGTGGAGGGGGATAACAAAGGGTCTCTTTGTCCTGAGCACATAGAAAAGGCCTAGAAACTTCTGGACAGAATATGTTAGCTACAGCTCTTGTTACTGAAAAAACCCAGGAACTGCTGATATGTATGCATTATTAGGACTGCACATGAAGTTTGGTCTATTCTTTTTGAAAAATGGCATATTTCTATGTGGGAAGTATGGTAGCAGATGGTGCGGCTGGAGAAAAGAAGGGAGTGATGAAGTTTGCGGATAAGCAAGAGGGGCTGGAGAGAGGGCTCAGCCCTCAGAGGCTCGGCTCACAGCCCAAAATGCAAATAAGCAAGGAAAATTTACTCTATGAAAGCTGCAGGCTACACGATGAAGCAAATGGATACACGGGCAGTGGTTGTTTGCACTTTTGTTTTTGCGATAAAAAAAATAATTACGCCAATTCTCTCTTCCCTTTCTTCTCTCTAAATCCTCCCAAATACACTTCCTTGCTCTCTTTCAAATTCATGGCCTCTTTCTTTCATTATTTGTTGCTACATGCCTACATGTATATGTATGTACATACATATTTCTAGATATGGCATACTCAGTCTGCATAATGTTACTTGTATGGATGTGTTCAGGGGTGACCATTTAGTGGTTGTTTACATTTTAAAGAGGGGTTCATGATGAGCAGCACGTGGTTTGTATCATAAGGGTACTTTTGACTCAGGTTAAAAGCTTTTGCAATGTTTTGGTCATTTCCAGGGACTGGGGAGATGGCTCACTTGCTGGAGTGCTTACCACACGAGCAAGAGAGCCCAAGCTTGGTTGTCTGGAACCTGCATTATATAAACAAACAAACAAACAAACAACTGAGTGTGGGAGTCCATTCCTGGAATCTGAGAAGGGACAGGAGGGCACATGGGGACGGCTGGCCAGCCCAGCCAGTCTAGCTGAATCTAGAAGCTTCCAGTTCAGTGGGAGGCTCTGTCCCAAAAACATGACCTGGAGGGACTGAAAGATGGCTCACTGGGTAAAGGCCCGTGCCACTAAGCTTGCAACTTGAGTTCAGTCCTCCAGACCCACATGGTAGAAGCGAAAAGCCAACTCCCCGGGCTCTGTTCCAACCTCGGTGTGTGTGCACACAGCTAAAGGCGGATAGTAATTAAGACAGACATCAGATGTTGACCTAAGATTTCAATATGTTCACACGTATGTATACACACAGGAAAGCAATGATTAGTTTCCTACCAGGTTTTTATTTTCTCCTTGCTGTGTTAGTAAGAATTTCCTCTTTTTCTCTCATTTTGTCACTGTTTTAGAGTCTCTCAACCCCCTCGTCTGTTCGTCCACTGTTTGCTATTTTTTAGATTGTCAGTTTAGCATCTCTGTTGTAAGGATCTTGTGTGATTTGCTCTTAGCTTTAACTTTAAAAACTTTTTTTTTTCAGACACAGATAATGTACAAGTGGATCGAGCCGAAAATCTGCAGGGAGGATCTCCCAGACGCTATCAGACTGCCCCCTTCTGGAGAGAAGAAGGATTGTCCCCCGTGCAATCCAGGATTCTATAACAATGGATCTTCTCCTTGCCATCCCTGCCCCCCAGGGACATTTTCCGATGGAACAAAGGGTAGGGTGTCTTATCATGGACTGCTCTTTAAAACATAATATTAATAGACTTGTGATCTTGTTTGAATTGATTTTCTGGGGAAGTCTTTAGATGACACATTTTTTATTTCATTGGAAGGAAGAAGAGTTGAGAAATATTGATAATGGGATTGTGAGAGCATGATTTATTTACTAATGAGAGCTGTCTTAGTGGCGTTTTGTGTATGTGAGACCATCTCTTTTAAAAATAGTATATTTAATTAGTCTTCGAAAAATGACCTTATCTTATTGGCTAACTAAGGATAATCATTCATTTTTGCATGTGTGTGTGTGCGCGAGCATAAAATGAAGCAATATACAAACAAAACCACCAAATACATACACATGCTTTGGTACTCTATCTAGAAACTTGTTCCGGCTCACATTTGAAGAAGTTCCTGAGGGAATTGGTGGTGTCACATCTTTCCCTTACATTTCTCTGCTGATTGCGGTTTAGTGGCGCTTGGCACAGGGAAAGCTGACCAGATGCAGCGTAACGTGGTTGTTCACTCGTTGTCTTCTGCAGAGTGTAAGCCGTGTCCAGCAGGAACAGAGCCAGCGCTTGGGTTTGAGTATAAATGGTGGAATGTGCTCCCTGCCAACATGAAAACTTCGTGCTTCAATGTTGGGAATTCCAAGTGTGATGGGATGAATGGTGAGTTTGGACTCGAACATAACTGTAGTGGCAGCAAAAACGCAATTGGTTTTCAGGCTTAGCCTTTTAAATGTGCCAGACACGTTTGTGAGGAACTTTGTCTTATTTGGCTGTGTGACCATCCCAGTACTTACATAAAAATCAATCAGTCAGGTAGCTTTCCTACAGCAATAAAACCTATAGTGCTTATTCCTTTCTTTCTTTAGTTTCAGCTCTGCATAGTCACTAAAAGTATGTAAATATCAGGTAGAAATTCCAGAAATCAATTTGTAAATGGTACACTGTTGTCAGTTTTTTCTCTCCAGCCTAGGATGTGCATTATCCTTTTGTCTGTTTACATCCTCTTCCTGTCCATTACTGAATTAGTAACATCTTAGTGCTCAGACACAGAGCTCGGGTTTCACAATAAATGTGTTCAAATAACTCCTAAAAATAATAATCTCAAACCACAAGTAACAAGCGAACAAGTCCGTCAAGCCCACCCTCATTTGAGCACTGTCTGAGTCCCTGTCTCTCCCCCCTTCACTTCCTCCTTCTCTCCCTCCTTCCCACCCACCCTTCCATCTGAAAATTCAGAAGTTCTCAGCTTAGTAAAGAAAGAACATAAATTCTTTGCTCAAGTTGCTAAAAAATCTATGGTAAGAAGAAGCTTTTAGCCATTAAACTGTGGAGAAGGAAAAATAACATCCATGATCTCACACCTCAAATGGCAGGAATTAAACGGCAGCACATGGTAAGTGCTTAGATAGAAAAGGTATTAAATAGTAGGGCTTGGTATGTCTGCTGTGGGGACTCAGCTTATCTGCCCAGGATAGATGTGTGCATGGGGGGTTGGAGGGTGGACAGGATGCTGCATTAGTCTTGCATTTTATGTAGTCACTTTTGACATAGATATTGAAGCTCACATTTAAAGCCACAAATACTGAAAGAGATGTGGCAAGGAAGTTAACAGCATCTGTACCTTTTGCCACTTTAAGGAATAATATATAGACAGAGTTTTTGTTGGGACCACTGGCTCCCAAATAAATGCACTGAGGCTTATATTATTTATAAATGCTCAGCCAATAACTCAGGCTTATTATTAACTAGCTCTTACAACCCACATTAGCCCATTTTCCTTATTTATGCCCTGCCATGTGGTGGTACCTTTATTATCATGGCATGTTCATCTCCTGTTCCCTCTGGGTCTGGCTGGCAACTCTTCTCTCTGCCCTTCTTCCTCCCAGCATCCTCCTAGTCTGGGCTCTCTTGCTTAATCTTATTCTGTTTGGGAATTGGCAGGTAAGCTTTTTTTATTAAACCAATCACAGTGATGTGTATTCACACAGCTTAAAGGAATATTCCATAGCACTTCCCTTTTTTGTCCAAATAAAAATAAAGATGTTAACTTTAATATAGTAAAATTATATACAACAAAAACAATTATCAAGCAAGATTTACAGTTATAATATCCAGTCCACTTGTATTTGGTAAAATTATAGAAAATACTATATTATTTATTTTATCTTGGTGAGTCTAAAGTTTTACATCTAATTTAGCTTTTCATCATAGCTAAGAAAAACTATAGTTATAACATCTAGTTTTAACTTCATCAAAGACCCCAGAAGGGTGCCTGGAAAGTCACCCTAGTTCTTCTGCGATGCTGGGGCATTCAGGTATGACCTACAGTTCTGGTATACCTGACAGACCTTTTTGAGAAGTAGATAATTTTGAAGAAACTTCATACCTTGTTTTGGCAAATGTTGGCAGTTGCTTTCTTTTGTGTCCTGCTAGTCCGGTTTGGACAGTATACTCTCAGCAATTGAGATAAGGGCAGTTTCTTTGCCCAAATGGCTAGCTTTTGCCAAAAAGAAAGCAAATTCCATTTTGAGTTTCTTCAATGCTCATTATCTTCTCTGAAGTAGATTGGTGCTACCAGGAGCTGTCATGAAAAGCCTTAGTTTATTAAACATATTAAATGCCATATTCTCTAGTGTTTGAAGACCATCCTTATAAATGTATGTCCTTGAAAACATATCTAACATGACTATAAGTTTGGCTATTATAGATGACTATTAATCTGTATTTATTAATTACACATTATATTTTTAAATGAGATGTATAAAAATAATACCATGAACAAGAGTAGAAATTTCATACAGTATAACAAAATTAACTTTAAATATGTATGATATACCAAAATCCATACCAATGTGAAATATTTATGACTAGTAGTTTTTTGTTTAAATATAGATTCAATAGTCTATCCTTTATCCTATCATTTCTATATCTCCATTTTTCTTTTCAGAACAAGATCCCTGAGACAGAATCTCCTGTGTGTACTGGGGATATTGTCCATTATCAATAACAGCTTGTATCAATCCTCCTTAAATGATAACATCAATAACCAATATTTTGGGGATGTGGGCATTGTTTTCTCTAGACTTCTTCTTGTTGTTTGTGGGTGCTGGTCATCTTTGGGAAACCTTGAGAAAATCAGGATAATTGATAAGTCTTGCAGTAGTATTCTCTGAGGCTGGACCATCTCAGCCAGCAGCCTTGAAGCTGTTCTAGATGCTGGATCACCTGGCCATCCATTTTTTATTGATGTCTGGTCCCCTTGTTCTGAAAATACATACATCTTTAAAGGTAACATACATGTCTATATTAAAATAAGTACAGACTGTGAATTTTACAAAAGTCAGCCAAAGATGATTTTTTCTGATGTGTTTGAGCAGATAAAATATACATCACTATCACGTATCTTGTAATTCTTTTATGTTTATTTCTTCATGTCTGTAGTCAGTGTTTCAGGGGGTCTTTCTTGATCAAACCTGATTTTTTAAACTTTGAATGGATCTATAGTCTTTCATTTTTCTGTGAGAACAAAAACATAATCTCTTCCCCAAAGCAAGATATTTCACTACTTACACTTTGAAGTTAGGACATTTTAAAAAATATGGGTTGAATTAATTTAGCAGCTTTCATAATCCAATGTGTCTTAGTAGCCATCACTCCTTCCTCAAGAATTAAAAAAATTTAAAGACAACACAGTAACATACAGTATCTAGATTCTCTGTGTATTTTCTGTCTTTACATGGCTTTTTTCTTTTATATTACTTTACTCCCTTTTAAAGGACATTGTTTTATTATTTTAAAACTATATTTTTTATTTAAGGCTATATATATACACTTTGTCTTCTTTTTCCCAAGCCTTTGTACATTTTTTATTACTTTAATTTTAAATAGCTTGCTTCACATGTCAATCCCAGCTCCCTCTCCCTCCCCTCCTCACCTACCCCCCCAGGCATCCTCCCCAGCCTCCCACCCTATCCCCACTTCCTTCCACATAGGGGATATCCAGAGTCTGTCATTTCGCTTGGGGCAGGGTCCAGGACCTTCCCTAAGAATCCAGGCTAAGAGAGCATCCCTCTTTGTGTTATGGACACAGAAGTCCATTTGTATGCCAGGGATAAATACTAATCTACTGCCCAGGGTACCATAGGTTGCCCAGGCTTCCTCACTGACTGTCACTCTAAGGGGATCTGGATCAGTCCCATGTTGGCCTCCCAGCCATTGGTCTGGGTCCAAGAGCTCTCCCCTGTTCAGATCAGCTGTCTCTGCTGGTTTTGCCAGCCCATTCTTTGCCCATTTGCTCATCGCTCCTCTCTCTCTGTCACTGGGTTCCAGGGGGCTCAGTTCAGTGTTTAGCTGTGGGTGTTTGCCTCTGCTTCCATCAGTCACTGGATGAAGGTTCTAGGATGGCATATAAGGTAGTCATCGAGTTCATTATCAGGAATGGGCATTTAAGGTAGTCTCTTCACTATTGCTTAGCCTGCCAGTTGGTGTCATCCTTGTAGAACATTAGAGGTCTCACTGGTGCCAGATCTCTCTTCAAACCTATGACTCCCTCTTATGGTATTTCTCATCCTGTTCTCCCCCTATTCTACCCCCCACTCAACCTTCCTGTTCTCTCTTCCTCTTCCCCCCTCTCTTCTTCCCAGCTTCCACTCCTCCTCCCCCACCCCATGTTCTCAATCTGTTCAGGAGATCTTGCCTCATTCCACTTCTCTGGGGTACCATGCATATTTCTTTTAGGTTCTTTCCTGTTTCCCACTCTCTGTCAGTGGAATTGCAGACTGGCACTCCCCTGATCCATGTCTAAAATCCATACATGAGTGAGTATATACCATGTTTCTCTTTTTGTGACTGGGTTACCTCACTCAGGATGGTTTCTTCTAGTGCCATCCATTTGCCTGAAAATTTCAAGATTCCATTCTTTTTTTCTACTGAGGAGTACTCCATTGTGTAAATGTACCACATTTTCTCTATCCACTCTTCAGTTGAGGGGCATCTAGGTTGCTTCCAGGTTCTGTCTATTACAAATAATGCTGCTATGAACATAGTGGAACAGATGTCCTTGTTGTATGAATGTGCGTCTTTTGGGTATATGCCCAAGAGTGGACTTGCTGGGTCTTGTGGTAGGTTGATTCTCATTTTCCTGAGGAATCTCCATTGTCATGGGTGTTTCTGATTTTAGCTATTCTGACAAGAGTAAGATGGTATCTCAGAGTTGTTTTGATTTGCATTCCCCTGATGGCTAAGGATGTTGAGCACTTTCTCAAGTGTCTGTCAGGCATTTTAGACTCCACTATTGAGTATTCTCTATTTAGTTCTGTACCCCACTTTTTAATTGCATGCTTTGGTTTTGGAGACTTCTTGAGTTCTTCGTAAATTTTGGAGATCAGCCCTCTGTCAGATATGGGATTAGTAAAATATCTTTTCCCATTCTGTGGACTGCCTTTTTGTCTTGTTGCCTGTGGTGTGTGTGGGTTAAAATCAGCGTTTTCAATTCGATTCCATTGGTCCACCTGTCTATTTTTGTGCCAATACCAAGCTGTTTTCAGGACTATAGCTCTGTAATAGAACTTGGAGTCAGGGATGGTGATGCCTCCTGAAGTTCCTTTATTGTATAGGGTTGTCTTGGCTATTCTGGGTTTTTTGTTTTTCCATATAAAGTT